TTGTTTTGGTTTGTTGTTTTTTATTTTCTTTGTTTGTTTTGGTTTGTTGTTTTTTATTTTCTTTGTTTGTTTTGGTTTGTTGTTTTTTATTTTTTTTGTTTGTTTTGGTTTGTTGTTTTTTATTTTCTTTGTTTGTTTTGGTTTGTTGTTTTTTATTTTCTTTGTTTGTTTTGGTTTGTTGTTTTTCCTTTGTTTTTAGATGCAGAGCCCTAAGCCCAGCAGGCTATAGGCACCGGAGGGAAGGTGATCCGGGTGAGTACCGGTGAGCCAGGTGAGCATCGACTCCAGGCCAGAACTAGATGGTCTTTTACAGGTGTTGTGGTGAATGTGTGCACATGCTTTGTTTCTTGTGTTTTCCAGGGGGTCTGCCACCTTCTCACAGACAGTCCAATGCTTCTGGGACCCTGCCGGTAAGAGGTCACTGTGGAGGAGAGGTAGGTAGGAGGTACCCCAGGAAAGCCATCCTTTCAGGCAGTATCTCAGTATGTACATTTGCCTTCAGCTTTTTTACTTTGCAGAGAATGTGTGCAGCCTCAGAGGGCCGGAGCCATCTGCCAATTAGCTTTGCTGGTCTTCAGCTGTCCTTGTAGTACTAGGAGATTACTCACGAGGCTCATCAATTAAGGCTCGACCTTTTCCGGTCACAGGTGCCCTCCGGCCTGCCTTTGGCAAAGGAGGATCATTCAGGTTGAGTCAGGGAGGTAGCAGGAGGAGCAGTGATCCGCCGAAGGTTTACAAATGCCCTCTAATTTTGTCTCTCGCTCGCTCACGTATCCCGGAAGATGACAGCCACCGCGTGTGACTCCAGTCAGAGCCGGTGAGCTCATTCAGCAGCCGGGCTTCAATGGGATAAGAGCTTTCCCTTACTTTCATTGAATGGGAGTTCTCCAGCTATTCCTGCTTTATTGAAGCATCAGCTTTGGCATCCAAAGAAGCAGAGTTGTACATGGCAATGAAGGGGATTACACTCACATGCAGGGGTTTTAAATTTAATAATTTTGTCTACTGTGTCGGTAAGGTGCTTTTGTAACTTGTTATCTTTTTTTCTTTTCCTTAGGAGCCTTGTATCTTTTGGGATCTCCCGATCATCTCAACTGCAGCTTGGCATTTTCTTCAATAGTGTTATCCAGTCCTCAGGTGAAGCTCCTCTGTGTTGAAGACTGCTACAGACACCCAGGTTTCCAAGTAGTCAGTGGGGGGTTACAGCCCAGAGATGGAGCGAGGGCTGGGGTGCTAGCTTAGGAATTGCCCAGGGTGTTTTGAAGGCAGTATGGGTGGAAAGCAGTGTCCAGGAGCCCCCTAAATGTCTGTGAAGGCACCCACTGACTTTTCAGATGTGTCCCTTAAGTTTTCCTCTCATTCACCCAGATATTCTGTGCAATTACAGCTGCAGTCTTTGGCTGCAGGCAGTGACCCTGGGTGGTTTGCCTAAAGAGAAGGGAGACTCTTTCAGCTGTCCCCATCTATCTGGGTGACTTTGGTTAGGGTTTCTTTGCAATGTCAGAGAGACAGGGTGTAAAGCAGAGTCGAACAGAACAGAGGCCAGAGGAGCAGAGCGAGAAGGTGGGTCATCACCTGATGTCAGCAGAAAGCTGTGGCTTTTGGCCCCACGTTTACTTGATGTGTTAAGGATGTTCTTGTTCTGCTTTGTTTTTTGTTTTCAGATGCAGAGCCCTTGGCCCAGGAGGCTCTAGGCACCGGAGGGGAGGTGATCCGGGTGAGTACCGGTGAGCATCGACTCCAGGCCAGAACTAGATGGTCTTTTACAGGTGTTGTGGTGAATGTGTGCACATGCTTTGTTTCTTGTGTTTTCCAGGGGGTGTGCCACCTTCTCACAGACAGTCCAATGCTTCTGGGACCCTGCCGGTAAGAGGTCACTGTGGAGGAGAGGTATGTAGGAGGTACCCCAGGAAAGCCATCCTTTCCGGCAGTATCTCAGTATGTACATTTGCCTTTGGCTTTTTTGTTCTGCAGAGAATGTGTGCAGCCTCAGAGGGCCAGAGCCACCTGCCAATTAGGTTTGATGGTCTTCAGCTGTCCATGTCAGTAGTCTCCCATTACTACGAGGCTCACCAATTAGGGCTCGACCTTTTCTGGTCCCAGGTGCCCTCTGGTCTGCCTTTGGCAAAGGAGGAGCATTCAGGTGGAGTCAGGGAGGTAGGGAGGAGGTGCTGGGGTCTCCCTTACTTTCAGAAACACCCTGTAACTTATTTTCTCCCTCACCCAGGTACGGCACACGGTGACAGCAGCAGCCTCTGGCCACAGAGAGCAGCACACTCTTGGGCAGTATCTCAGTACTTGCATTTGCCTCTGGGGTTTTTTGCAGGAGATGTACGCAGCCTCACAGGGCCAAAGCCCACTCAGGATGAGGTGATGGGCACGGTTTGGTCTTCTCGAGCTGTCCTTGTAGGTAATCTCCAAATATTAAAAGGATCAGCAAGGAAGGATTGAGCTTTTTTGGTTGCAGGTGCCATCTGGCTAACCTTTGAGACCAGATGAGCATTGGAGGAGAGTCGGGGAGGCAGCAGGAGGAGCAGGGATCCACTGGAGCTTTAAAATGCTCTCTAATTTTGTCTTTCCCTCCCTCAGGTATCCCAGAAGATGACAGCCACAGCGTGTGACTCCGGTCAGAGCCAGTGAGCTCATTCAGGAGCCAGGCTTCAATGGGATAAGAGCTCCTCCTTTCTTTCATGGGATGGGACTTCTCGAGCTATTCCTGCTTTATTGAAGCATCAGCTTTGGCATCCGAAGAAGCAGAGCTGGATATGGCAATGAAGAGGATTACACTCAAATGCAGGGGTTTAAAATTTAGTAATTTTGTGTGCTGTGTTAGTAAGGTGCTTTTATAACTTGTTATCTTTTTTCTTTTCCTTAGGAGCCTTGCATCTTTTGGGATCTCCCAATCATCTCAACTGCAGCTTGGCATTTTTTCACAAGTGTTATCCAGTCCCAAGGTGAAGCTCCTCTGTGTTGAAGATGGCCACAGAGAGCCAGGTTTCTAAGTAGTCAGTGGGGGGTTACAGCCCAGAGATGGAGTGAGGGCTCAGGTGCCAGCTTAGGAATTGCCCAGGGTGTTTTGAAGGCAGTGTGGGTGGAAAGCAGTGTCCAGGAGCCCCCTAAATGTCTGTGAAGGCACCCACTGACTTTTCAGATGTGCCACTTGAGTTTTTCTCTTATTCACCCAGATATTCTGTGGGATTACAGCTGCAGTCTTTGGCTGCAGGCAGTGACCCTGGGTGGTTTGCCTAAAGAGAAGGGAGACTCTTTCAGCTGTCCCAATCTATCTGGGTGACTTTGGTTAGGGTTTCTTTACAATGCCAGAGGGACAGGGTGTAAAGCAGAGCTGAACAGAACAGAGGCCAGAGGAGCAGAGCGAGAAGGTGGGTCATCACCTGATGTCAGCAGAAAGCTGTGGCTTTTGGCCCCACGTTTACTTGATGAGTTAAGGATGTTCTTGTTTTGGGTTGTTTTTTTTTGTTTTCAGATGGAGAGCCCTGAGCCCAGGAGGCTCTAGGCACCGGAGGGGAGGTGATCCGGGTGAGTACCGGTGAGCAAGGTGAGCATCGACTCCAGGCCAGAAATAGCTGGTCTTTTACAGGTGTTGTGGTGAATGTGTGCACATGCTTTGTTTCTTGTTTTCCAGGGGGTGTGCCACCTTCTCACAGACAGTCCAGTGCTTCAGGGACCCTGCCGGTAAGAGGTCACTGTGGAGGAGAGGTAGGTAGGAGGTACCCCAGGAAAGCCATCCTTTCCGGCAGTATCTCAGTATGTACATTTGCCTTTGGCTTTTTTGTTCTGCAGAGAATGTGTGCAGCCTCAGAGGGCCAGAGCCACCTGCCAATTAGGTTTGATGGTCTTCAGCTGTCCATGTCAGTAGTCTTCCAGTACTACCAGGCTCACCAATTAGGGCTCGACCTTTTCTGGTCCCAGGTGCCCTCTGGCCTGCCTTTGGCAAAGGAGGAGCATTCAGGTGGAGTCAGGGAGGTAGGGAGGAGGTGCTGGGGTCTCCCTTACTTTCAGAAACACCCTGTAACTTATTTTCTCCCTCACCCAGGTACAGCACCTGGTGACAGCAGCAGCCTTTGACTCAGGTTGGAGCCAGTGGCCCGAGAACCCCTCAGCTCAGGGGATGGTGAGGGGATCCACTGAAGCTTTACAAATGCCCTCTAATTTTCTCTCTCGCTCACTCAGGTATCCCAGAAGATGACAGCCACAGTGTGTGACTCCAGTCAGAGCCAGCAACCC